TAAAAATAATTTTTAATATGACATGCAGTAAAACGGACTTTTCCCCTCTGGTATATATTTCTATGAATTTTAACACATAGGTAGATTCAATTAGCTGCCACCACAAATAAGAATAGTTTCATCACCCCACAAGTCTCCCTGATGCTGCCCCTTTAGAGTCACATCCTCTACTAACACATAACCCCTGGCAACCACTGAAAACCACAATTTCCCATCACTACAGTTTTGTCCTTTTGAGGACTCCCTTTACTCTTGCTTTTCCCTTTCCTTAAGATTTTAATGGCGATATCTGCATGCTTATATGTGGGTGCAAAGAACTCCAGATCCAATGCCAGCAGACTTCCTCCTCTATTGTTATTGTTATTTGCTGTTCCTAACATTTATTAGCATCTATTATGTACCAGGGACCTGTGCTAAGCTTTTTACACACATTATCTCATTGTAGTCTTACAATAGCCTTCTGATATATGTACGCTATTGTTATTTCCAGTATTCAAAAATGGAAACCGAAGGTTAAGGAGGGTGAGTGACTTGCCTAAGGCCTCACAGCTAGTAAATAACTGAATCCCAGCACGGACCCAGCTCCATTTGACCACAATCTTAAACACTACAGTAAGGAATTAAAGGGAGGGAGTTTTAATTAGCAAGGAGGTATGCCAAGAGATTTTGGGGGCAGAGCCAATATGGGGCCATGTGGTCTTTCAAAAGGTTTGCAAATGTGTGTGAAGCTGGAGAGCCATCTGTGTCTCCTGAATTCTCAACCCCAGTTCCCGCCTTTGTCTCCCTCCATCTGCCCCATCCGGTCCTCACTGACCCAGGTGGCACCTGCCTGCTGTTTTTAGGGGCTTGGGATGGTTTCATCCCCTTTGCAAATGTAGCAAAAACCACTGTCTGTGTCACAGCTTTGCTGCAGGACACAACAGCTGAGACTCAGAAATGGGGGCTGGTTTCCTTCTGGTTTCTACCAGTCCCAACTCCCTCATGTGCTCTCTGACCTCATTATTCCCCTCAGTTGCTTGCCAACACCAGCTGAAAAGTTTCTGGGCGACAGGCACCTGGTCTGTGTGCTGGAGGTGGCAGGTGTGTTCTCGCTGAGATAGGGCAAGTGAGACAGGAATGTGTGTGGTTGGCATGCTGCTTAACAAAGCAGGGAGAAAGTCCGGCCCTGCCAGACCCAGGGCGGCAACCTCTGTGTTGCAGGTAGTGGGAAGCAGGGAAAAGGAAAGAAGAAAGTTCATGAAGAAATGGGTGATGCTGGGAAGGGGAGCAGGGTCTTGCCCTGCATATGGTGTTCCATTGAGCTTGCTGTTTGCACAAGTGATGTTAGTTGGTAAGTTTCCTCCTAGAATCAACTCCTAGCTCCTGAAGGGTCTTGGAAGTGAGCTGCCAAGTCAGCACTTTCAGGAAGCATCACACACCTGATTCATGGCCACGGCTCATTTGGAGACAACACAAGCCAGAAGTCAGGGTACCAAGAACCATCTCTGGAAGATACCTCGTTAACACTTAGGGGGTGAAAGAGGGCGTGTAATTTAGAGTGGAAAGTGTTGAGTCACTTCAAAAACAAAAGCACGCAACACTTACTGAGCACTTAATCTGAGCCGTCTCTGTGCTGAGAGCTAAGTGACATGAATCATCTCATTTATTTTTCACATCAACACTCTGAAGCAGGTATTACTATTACCTCCAATTTACGGATGGAGAATTGGAGGGCCTGTGGTTTATGTGACTCACTGGAATTACACTATTGAGGAGAAGAAGCAAGATTTGAATACTGATATCTTCAAACCTAAGCTTGCTAACACTTAGCTTCATCGCCTTATTGTCCATCTCAGTTCAGAAATACTATTAAAGGGTATCAGAGTGAGGAGGAAGAGAGATAAGCTACTCAGGAGCCCAAAATCTTCTCCAAGGCTTGCAAAGGACCTTTGGCTTGATGGCAGTCTGGGAAGGAATAAGAACCAGTGGGATTGCCAGTCCAGGCCTCCCAGGAGTCTGTTGATCTTACCTGCTGGTCTGAAATAATTGCATGCTGTAGAAACCTACAGCCATTTCTCAAGTTTCCTTTTTACACAATAGGCTTGGGAGAGTTTTAGACAGGTAGGCACAATGGGCCATTTTTTCTGTCTTCGGCTGGCACCCTGAAGTGCGACTGCTGGTTCCACCCTCGCATGCTGGCTGGCACAGGAGCACCAAACAAAAAGTTCTTGATGAGCTTGTTCATTAGAGGACCCTATGTTCACTCGAGTGAGTGGGGAAGACTTCCGGCTTGGAAAGCTCACAGACAGGAAGTGAAACTTGCTCCTTCAGAGTGCCGGGCTCACATGAGGCCCTCTGAAAGAGGTGTTTTACAAAGTGGTACCCTGTGACAACAGGTCATTTATGTCCCCGTAGAGGAGTACTTTATACTTAGTATCATCCTGGCCTGGACTCATCATAGACTCAACTTCAATAACAACACTTATTATGCTCTCCAGCTTGGGCTGTCACTCCTTCTGTGTTTTGTAGAATGCCTCATGCACAGCAGGGCACCATAAACAGTCAATAATAATGTTTTCTATGATAACAATCTTCCAAATGCCTTTCATCTAAGGATCTCCAAGTGCTTGGTAAACACCAATTAGTTAGGAAATGGGATAGCTCTCTGTGTTTACAATGCATTTTCCTATTTTACAGAAATTTAAATTGAGACCCTGCAAACTTAAGTGGCTTGCCCAAAGTCACACACAGCAAGTTTAAATTAATGATAAAAACGATGCTTTGCATTTCATGTAATGCATAGGCATTCCATAGCAAATGTTTTCTAAGGTGACCTGAGTATGTGGAAGCAGGTGGGTAGCGAGTATCATTCATTGTTGAGCCTAGATTGGGTAAACTGAGGCCAGAGGATGAATCTCCTTGGTGAGGATGCAAGCCCACACTGCTGACTCTCAGAAAAGAGTGTGGCAGCTCAACCATCCTCCATTCTCTAAACTAAGGGAGGCGTGGCTGCTCTCACACTTACAGTTAAGAAAGCTGTATTTTGGGAGAATAGTTTGAAGAATGACAGCCATCGTTACATGCAGGAATGAGCCTGTTCATGTCCCCATTGAGAGAGGCTACAGGGATGAGGTGTGGCAAAGGTAGGAAAGGCGAGCTCAAGAAAACTAAGAACAGGGGTGGGTGTGCTGGCTGCCAGCTCTGCCCTCTTGCATCCTTAAGAAGCCAGGTCCTTGCTGAAAGGGTTTGGTTCCTTGTTTCAGTCTCACGGACAGGACTTGGTCTGGTGAGACTCGGGGGAGGTGCCGTCACTGGCACCTTACTCTGGTGTTACAAGTCCCTGTGAAAGAGTTCCAGGGACATGCAGTATCTTAGCGGCTGTCTCTTACGCAGGACCAGCCCTGATCCCCACAACTCCCTCTGCCAGGAGGAGCTGTGGATCCTTTTGCTGCTACCTTTTCTTAGCAATATAACTACATGGAAAAAGACAAAAAACATGAACAAACACATTCAGCGCCAATAAGGGATTGGTCTCCTTTCAGTCTCTAACACGTTCTTAGTGAGCAATGACACTCTGCCAAGAGGCAAGTCCGACTCTGCAGCAGCATGGGGGAGGGGAGAGCTTGCTGGGTCTTGGGAATTCAAAGAGAGATTTGCAGCTGGAGATAGAGCCCATTCTCTATGAGATTCTCTCTAAACCACCCCACCCCGCCTCTCCCCAGCCTGTGGATTCTGACTGATGGTGAGGCCTAGGAGGGAGTCTCAAAGAAGGGTACCAGGCCCTCTTCTGGAATGTGGCTCACACACACCGGCACCATGGCGATGGAAAGTCTGCAGGGATGAGTTCATACCAGTGCCCACTTCTTCCCGCTCATACTTCTGAATGCTCCCACACTCTCCTACTGCCCGGGGGCTTGGAGGTGCCGGGAAGCAAAGGAGGGGTGAGCTGTTTCAAGAAATATTTTAGAAAACTGAATGCACATCTCAAGCCTGCTCTCAGCTGGGAAGAAATCTGGAAGATACTCCTTCCTACAGCTACTCTTCCCCGCAGGGAGTCCTGGGACTCTGTGGCCAGTATTAAAGCTCGCTGTAGGTAAGACATCACAGCATGCAGCTTTGACTTTCTAAGTATGCCAGCCACTCGGGCCGCAGCTTGCCAAGTCCACTCTGGCACACCAATTCCTGGGGTGACAGTGCAGATTATCCTGCCGGACTGGCAAAGACCACATGCTTCTCGATAGAGGTGCCTTCGCACAGCTTCTCTCAGCAAGGCTCCCCGCCAGGTGGCACACAGTCCCCGGGATGTGCTTGCCCCGCTCGACAGAGTGGCCCCGCTGTCCAAACACCAAAAGCATCCTTGGGCCATATCCTACATGGCTCTACTGGCTCCATTTGCTTTTATACTGCAGCCACCGATGTGCATTTTTTGTGTATTGTACTCCCCAGCCGGCCTTCCTGTCAATCAGTCCACCCACACAGACGCTCCCTCCTGCACCACCTCCGGGCCGCACAAGCCATAATAGCTTTGAGTGGATTGTGAATGAACACTGTCATAACAGCACTGTTTGTCTGGGTGGGGGTTGAGGCAGGGAGATGGGTTTGGGCAGCATTCAAACAGAACCTGACGTTTGGAAATTTCTCAGAGACCCCCAAAGCAACAAGCAGTTGGATTTGTTTTCCCTCTCTTTCCTGTCCTTCCTGCATTTTCCATGCACCGGGTTGGCCTCAGGGCTGAAGTGAAAAAGACCAAAAATATAATCAAGAAGGCTTTCCTTATCCTGCTAACTGTCTGCACAAGGAACTGGGACGCTGTCACAATTCTGAGAATCACAGGAAGGATTCAATAGGTCAGGACCCCACCAAACTTCAGTCGGAGTTTCCCTGCCCACAGAAACTTCTCTCTCGGGAATCCTGGCGGCACCTCCTTTGACACGTAACTGAAAGTGATAAACCCTCACCGCTGGCACACACAAATGCAACCTCCAGGTGGACAGGATAGGAACAAAGAAGATCTCTCTTACCCCATCCATGTGGATTCTGATGTTGGGCACGAGCCGGAACGGACTGGCCGGCTGGCCTCTGGGCTGAGTCCTGCTCTTCCTGCCGTCCTGCAGGGCCAACACGCCGGGCCTGCGGAAGGAGCCCCCTCTCCCGGAGCCCGGGCCCGAGCGCACGCCGTCCAGGAGGCGCACGAGCAGCAGGTTGGCGGGCAGCGCCTCGATGCTGCCAAACACCAGGGTTCGGCACTCGGGGCACCGCAGCCCCTTGTGGGCCTTGGAGATCCTCTGGAGACATGGTTTGCAGAAGGTGTGCTGGCAAGGGAGGACTTTGGCTGTAACATCGAGCTTTTCCAAGCACACGGGGCACTCCAGGAGATCAAGTAACGTCAAATCATCCATCTTATTTTAAAACTCGAGTCCCGACCCGGAGCGCCAGAGTCCGCATGGTAGGGTCAGCCAAGCCAAGGGAGCAAAGGCAAGCTCCCGAGAGCGAGTCCCACCTCCTGCCTGTGTGAGGGAGAGGGGAAGAGAGGAGAAATGTGAGCACTGGGAGAGAGATCCCACCTACTTGGAGGCAGCGTCTCACCAGGCAGTGTGTGAGCACTTGTGCCAGCACCCAAGTTTCAGTGACTCATTCTGATTCAGTGCTGGCAGGTACAGGACCGGCTCCCGCTGCGGGAGGAGCCGAGGGAGCATTCAGCTCAGCGACAACTTACTCATCGCCTCCCGTGTGCAAGGCGGGAGCACGGAGACAGCACTGGCCTACGAGGAGGCCTCCCCACGCCTCTCCCAGCCAGGCTCCAAGGGGGTCCTTTCTCCCTCCAGACCGGCAGGCTCAACTGTCATTCAGAGCGCCCTCAGAATGCAGTTTGTGTGGAGCTGCTACTATACTACCTCCCCGTCCTCCCTCCCTAGGGTTAAGTTTACCAACCGCAGCACATGCAGGTAAGTTAAGGTTACGTGTGCACGTTTATCTGAAGCTCATGCAGGTGCAGAAATATTACCTTCACAGTGCATCTTCCCCCTTCGCTTTGTTCTAGCAAGGTACAAGAAAAGCGACCAGCTTTCAAATACAGAGACCATAGCCTGAGAGACAGTATTCCTCCCACAAGATAAAGACAAGCAGCCTGTTTAGTTACTTTGACAGTTGTTCTCAGTTTCAACTGAGGCAGATAGCAATTCTGGATTGCGCAAATACCAGAGTATACGGTGTGTGTGTGTGTGTGTGTGTGTGTGTGTGTGTGTGTGTGTAGTCTTCCTGTTCCAGAAAGTTTCCTTTAGAAAACCCTCCTGGGAATAGATCAGCTGTCCCTCTGGGTGAAAGCAGCAGCAGGGAGGTTGTGCAGAAGGGCGGGTGGCCGCTCCAGGAAGCAGAACAGACCTGACACCCCAGGATGAGAGATGGCGCCTTGCCTTCCTGAGACAACTCTCCAAAGATGTCAGCGCTGGGGAGGTACGCGGCAGCCACTCACCTTGAGCTTGTAACCCCAGCTGAGTTCAGATCCTGATCTTCGGTCTGGGTCTGCTCCGTCAGGCTCCCTCCAACTCTGCTCTCTCCAAGAGCCAGGAGCCACGCTGACTGCCGCTGCGCTGCGGCTGCTTTGAAAACTTTAACAACTCTGACTCTTACTCATATCAAGGGATCGCCTTTCCCAGCCCAGTTAACCCTTTCACCGCTGGGCGGCCAGCAGCGGGGTTTTCTTTGAGATCACTCTCAACTACAGGTTCTTTTCTTATGTAACTGAGTCAGTTTCTGGGATAAGATTCTAAGGGGTAGAGTTTAGGTCAGCCCAGAAGGCTGAGTATTTACAGTTTATGCTTTCACCTTTCTCAGTTTCTCTCCTAACCAAGAAGTGGAAACACGTTCAGTTATAAACACGAGAGGGTGATTGTGCTTATTTTAAACCTTTATAAAAGTTCTTGAAAAGGTCAAACATAGGAATGGTAGCTTTGATAACAAAGATAAGCTGGCCACCTAAAAAGAACTGCTCCTTAATCACCATAGCCAGTTCTTGAACTTAGAAATTTGAGAGGGATTTGGGTGATCTTTTTGTTCAATCTCTTTAAATTAAAAAAAAAATAGTGTCGTGGTAGTACATACACATCCTTTAAAAATCAAAGCACAATAGGTTTAAAAAAAGAAAAAGCAGTGGTCCCAGCTCTCCCCCGACCCCCTAGAAAATTTTCATAGCCCCAAAGAATGCTTATACTTTTATTTTTTGATTTATCAATGACATTATTTCATGTAAAATTACAAAATTATTTAATGAAGTAAATAATCATAATAATATTACTCAAAACTAGAGTAGTCCTTACCTGTGTCAAGCACTGTTCTAAATATTTCACTTCTATCAACTTATTTCACCCTTTTAACAATTCAGTGATACACTACTCTCTTCTTTACCCTGTTTTACAAAGGACAAAACTAAGACACAGATTAAATAAGTCGTCCCAGGAGTCACAGCTAGCAGGAGGCAGGTGGTCTGCGCTATTAACTACATTGTTATATGTTCATATATCTTTAAGGGGAGGAGAGATATTTGAAGGGGGCTAACCCTCCTCTGGTATGTCAGGAAGTCAAAAGATAATCACCCAAATTGACCAATCAACGCCCTTTGCAGATGGAGCAGCTATGCTCAGAGAGATCAAGAGATTCCTTAAAGTTGCCCAGTGAGTTAAGGGCAGAACCTAGAATAAGGACTGGGTGTTGCTTTTTTCTGGGTCTTCTCCCTCCACATAGGATGGCCTATCTTTATGATGCAGCAAGCACTTAGATACAACTCCCTGGGCAAATCTGAAGAGGGGAACAAGAGGGCTGAGAACAGATTGTGGTGGTTCACAATTCTCAAAGTTCTTCCAAATCAGTTCTGAAAAAGGAAACATAAATGAAGCTCAAGATAGGGGAGAGCTTCAGGTTGGAGCAAATTAGAGGCCTAATTTGGATACGTGTCAATTTTTGAGACCATTTTTAACTCCTTTAAAAAAAAAATCTCCTTTTATAGAGGGCTTTTTTTGCGCTTCAACATTATCTCATCCCTCCACTTTTATAGATTCACCAGGAAGCCTCTGGCAGGCTGAGGCTCTTTGCTGTCCCTTCCTCATTCCTACTGGGCAAAGCTGAGCTCCTTTCTCTGGGAGCTGTCCCCGCACCCCTGACAGGTCTGCTCTGGTGCCTGAACTGCTGCAGGCACGGGCGGGCAACATTCTCCCTCCTTTCCTCTCTTGTTCTTAAACACACTTCCTTAGACATCCAGATCTGCATCTACATGCACATGCACACGTATGCTTGCACAGGGACAAGCACAGGCATCACCCTAACAGTAACTTTCGTGCGGCACTTGCTGTATGCCATGGACCAGTGCCAAGACTTTAAACAGATTATCTCTACATCCTCCCAACCGCCCCATACAGTAGGTCCTGAGACTTTCCTAGGGTTACAGAGCTTGTGATCTAAACCCAGGTGGGTCCAATCCCAGGACCTTTGCTGTTTTCCATTTTTTGTTTCCCATGTTATAAAGTCATGACCATGCCCTAAGCATATCCATATACCTTTGCTGTGTAAATGCACACATTTTTATACCTATGTCCGTAGCGGGCACACCAGCTGATCACACCAGCCCCAAAGGGATGATGTCAAAGGAACTTGGGCTCATTTGACGGTCACTCTCTGGACCCTGCCCAGTCTCCTGGCCCCTCCATGCTCTCCATGGTGACTGGTCTGAAAAAGCTTCCAACCCTCCCATCCCTGAGAAAACAGATACAATGCATTCTGTCCTAGGAAGGCGGGATGGAATCAGGGGGCTGCTCTGTGCTAGTGTATTTGGTAACTGAAGGAAGATTCAGTAAAACAGAGTCATGATGGCAGCATCTTAGGCGGCACTGGGGGCTGGGGACAGTTCACACAGAACAGGAGTGGTCTCCCCGCACTTCTCAGATCACACGGTGTGGGTGGTCCTCAACATCACCCACATGTGAGGTTCCTCTTGGTGGAAATTTGAGAACTTTTCTTTTGAAGCTTCTGAAGAAGGGGGCGTGTTTTGAATGGGGATTTTATCCTGGCTTATCCAAATGCTACCTTGGCGTCAAATCAGATGAGCAGCAGTCCTCAGAAACAAACAGAAAGGTCTTCCCAGACTCCAGGTCGACCCACCACCCCGCTGCTCCCACCCCATCAACACTCCTGTTGACATTTGCCCTGTTACATAGCGATTACACACTGTACTTTAAAAATAATGCCTGTGTGACTTTTATGAGCTTCTGTTGCTTGTTTTTACAAATGCATCTTGATTTATGTTTAAAAAAAAATTGCAAAGCTGATCCTATTGTTCCACTGTTCAAAAACCCTTCTGTGGGTTCCCATTGACCATGGGATAACATCTAGATCCTCCTTCTCACCTAACAGGCTCACCTCTCCTGCCTTTACCCCTCATCTCCCCGCTACTCCTCCACTCACTCCAGTTCCACTGGCTTGCTGTCTTTACTCAGGGCCGTTTATGCTTCTCGGCCACAGCGTATGTGTGCATGTTTTTCTTTCTTTTCTTTCTGTGTACAACCTGCTTTCTAGTTATACTCTTCCTCCTCCTCTCTTCTGGGAACCCCACTCAGCACGCCTTTGTTTTCTTCATCCCTTCCCCTGCAAATTTTAGCTTACATGCCACTTCCTTGGGAAAGCCTTCCTTTTTTTAAAAAAAAATATTTTTATTGATTAGAGAAAGAGAGAGAGAGATATCGATGATGAGAGAGAATCATTGATAGGCTGCTTCCTGCATGCCCCACACTGGGAATCGAACTCACAACCCAGGCATGTGCCCTGACCCGAATTGAACTGTGACCTCCTGGTTCCTAGGTCGACGCTCAACCATGGAGCCACACTGGTTGGACAGGGAAGTCTTTCTTGATTCTCATGACTAGTTTATAATCCTACCCTTCTCCTTCATAACAGGTGTCACAGTTATAATTCAGTAATTAGGTTATAATAATTTATTTAATGCTTGGTTCCCCCCAAACAGACTGTAAACTCTGAGAACAAGCCTCTTATGTGTCTTGTCACTGCTCTGTCCTTCATAGTTACCACAGTGACTGGCAGGCACTTACTTAATGCTTACTTAATCAATGATTTTGAATCGGTTTATAAATGAATAAGTTGTGTTCTTACAAAATTGTATCTATTAGTAAATGGAACTCTAGTTTAATTTGCTGCAATTTGAAGGCAAAAAGTAAATGGATACTTAATTAAAATAGTAAAATGCCATTGAATTCTAGTTAAATGCGACTGCCTGCCTAGACCTGAACTTGAGGCCTGAGCAATCTGTTACAAAGGTATGGTTAGCCAATGTTAGAGGGGCATGAAAGGCTAGCCCTAAGCTGGGCTTTCTCCATGATGGAATCAGAGGGGTGGAGGAGAAATGAGGAACTTTCTCATTGTGCAGCTCCGTGTCCTTCATTTTGTCTTGGGGTACCCCTGGCTTTGGAAAGCTGTTCACAAAGGAACTGGGATGTTTGTGAAGAATCAAAAGGAGGGAAGAACCAACCCATTTTCTGCTCTAGAAACAGTGGAGAGGTTTCGGTGAGAGGTTCTTACTTGCATTTCTTCCTCTTTCAAAAAAGACAGTAGCCTGGTAAATGCAGTTGTGTTCCCTCCTCTGTAGAAGATAAGAAAGAAGTTCTAAAGTGAATACTAGAGGGGAAAGTAGAAAAGTAAGAGTGCATCTTATCATTCTATTAATATTAAAAAATAATTCAGCTGGTCAAACCCAAGTAAAGTTTGTAGTCTGGTTATTGTACCATTGTCAATTTTCTACTTATAATGTATTATAGTTATCCTAGAGGCCCAGTGCACAACATTCGCACACTGGGAATGGGAGTTCCTCACCTTGGCCCTCGCCCTTGGCCTTTCACAGTCTGGGAGCTCTTGGGGGATGTCGGAAAGCCAGCAGTAGTATATTCTTAGTGCTGCCGCTGAGGCAAGAGAGGCTGTCACCATTGCACCAGCCATTAGCCTGGCTTCTGGCTAAGAGGTGCGCCCACTGTGAGAGTGCACTGACCACCAGGGAGCAGCTCCTGTGTTGCGCATCTGCCCACTGGTGGTCAGTGTGTGTCATAGTGACAGGTTGTTCCACCATTCAGTCTATTTGCATATTGCCCTTTTATTATATAGGATAATGCATTATAAATGATATCATTGAGGAAAGATTGGGCATAGGTACAAGGGACATCTTTGTACCATTTTTTGCAACTTCTTGTGAGTCTGTATTTATTTTGAAATAATAAGTAAAAAGAAAAAGAAACCAGTAAGATATATGTACAGTCAAAGCCTTATATATCCCTACCCTGAAACACCACTCCTAGAAATTTATACTAATTAATAGATATACAACCCAGTATGTTCCTCATATGATTACTTACAATAGTGAAAAGTGTAAAAAAATTCTTAATGTCCAACAATATGGGAGTGGGTAAACAAATGGTGAGATATATGCAGGATGGGACAAAAGTAGGTTTACAGTTGTTCATATGGGAAATAGTACATTAATAAATAATAACATAAGAATAAACTGTTTTTTGTACTTACAACTGTAAACCCACTTTTGCCCCACCCTGTGTGTGTTTTAAATACAC